AGTAATAAGGACAATAAATCTGCAGCATTTGTAGGGCTCGTCGGAGCATGAGTAAGCCAGTAATAGCTGAGAAAAGGGTAAAACGTTAAACATTCGGAAACGTTTAGAGAGCGCGCGACAAGTAGAGTTAATTCATCCGGAATTCTTACACGTCTCCGTCTCCTCTCGGGCGGTAGAGAGAGAATTAGATTTGGGAAAAAGGGGAGAATACGCTGAGGGATCTTGCGGAGGAGGAGGAGTAGAGAAGAAGAAAAAAAAACTGGGTGAAAGTAAACTTGAAGAGGGTCGGAAGTTTTTATTTTCCTCCGTTTCACCCCAATTCCCGATCACTTACCGATGAGGGGAAAAACGACTTGATGTCTCTATACATATATATTGATAGGGGCGAGGGTGGAGAAGGAGCGCAAGCGAAAAAACCTTCGCCAGGTCATGGAAAAAAGCGCAAAAAAAAAACCTGTCGTGGCTCTATCAGGTGGTTATCGACGCATTTCCAATAGCGCGCGCTCAGGGGTGGCGCACTTCTATTTTTTTTTGTGTGTTGCTTCGCTTTATTTGATGTGCGCCGAGAGTTACAGATAAAGAGAGCAGACGATGAGGAGAAGCGCTGCGGTTACAGTAGAGGGTTGTGAAAAGATGCCCGCCTTTCTGGCAATCAATAATATCCTCTCTCTGCACATCCAGAGAGCATCAGCTCGAAACAGAGATGGATGTGCTTTACACACTCGCATAAAATAAAGAGATGTAGCTCGGATCAACCCTTCTTCGCATCTTTTGTTTCAATTTTTACCGCGCGCTGGCGCCCCCAAACGTCCATTCCTTGAACCCTCCCTCATCATCATCATCATCATCGTCGTCGTCGCCACCATCAAAATCAATTTTATGATTTAATTGCACCGTAAATACTTCGATTACGCGTCTCCATTCCAACAACGAGTTCTCTCATCATCCTTTTTATCGATTCTCACAAAAAAAAAAAAATATAAAGTTATTTATGCGCAATATAATCGATATTAACTTTACAACTCTTTTTCACTTAAACGACGATGACAATTTTTACGAGCTGCACTTAAAAAAAAAATATATAAAAAAAAAACAAGAGGAGAGACAGAAAAAACGATGCTTTATGATCTTTCGATGCAGTTAAAATCTCCAAAAACTTTAGCGGAAACTAAAGCCGCAGCGGCGGCGGCGGTGGTGGCAACAGCAGCGCCACCCTCAGGGGTTGCGTAAGTGAATTAAACGGGACTTTAGTTAAAACCCGAAAATTGAATCAAATCAACTAATCGAATATCAAACAATTTTTTTTTATTATAATAATTTAATAAATTTTCACAACAAAACAAAAAATCAATTTTTACGTGAATTCAATCAATCAATTAAGTTTTTAAGTTTAATTATCGCACCTGTTTTCTCCTAATTAATCGCTTGTCGCGTTGAAAACTTTAATTAGCTTTTCAATTAGCAAACTAAATGATAACATTTATTTTGTTGCAAATCTTAAAACGTAAGACTTTGAACTTGGGACAAGAATGATAAACAAAAAAAAGAAAAAAAGACGCGGTTTCTTACGGATTACTAATTCTGCGGGGTCGTAACGCGACACCCGTCGCGTCTCACTCTCTCTTCTCTTGTTTTTTTTCTCCTCTTCTTTTGTTTTGTTTTACATAACAACGATTCGCCGATCTCAGCGCGTTTCGCCTCGGTTACGTAATTGTTTTTTTCTCTCCCTTCTTTGTAAATAAAAATGCGACTGTTCGAATGCATTTTCTTATTGGATTCTTTTTAAATTTTCTTTTAAATTATTAGGTGTGAGTGTGCGCACGTTACGGATACGAGCAGGTGCAATAAGAAAACATGTGTCTCCTCACGAAAAAGTTACAATGAGCGAAGGATGTTTCTTCTTTTTTTGTCGCTTCTCTCTTGTTTTCGCGCGAAGACACATACACACACCCGCACTAAAATAAATACGAGCATTCTTTCTTCCCGAATGCATTTCG